AGAATTAGACATTATCTCTGCATTGATTCTTAGAACAGAGATTTGACTTGAAGAGAGTGTATGTATCAGTGGCCAGACGCACATGGCTGTCATCTCCATCATTAAATAGCACATGATGAATGGTGACCTGCCTTCAATCACTGCGTGATCTCATGTCAAAACTTGGACGGTTATGTAGTAGAATCACTCATAAAGAACTTGCAATGGGAATCCCCCCCCCCCCCACATGCATTGCAGCCTTTCCTTAAGTTGCTGTGATCAAAGTTCATGGTATTTATCCCCTTAGGAAATCTAAATTAATGTTACAGGGAATTGCCTTCTTTTTTGCTAAGTATTATTGTATGAGCGTGGGTACATGGAAGCAATAGATACATGGCAAAAGCGAGACATGTCAGATTCTAAAGCCAAAGGCAAAGTTGATTCAAACCTGTTAAAGCCCTCAGTCTCCTTCCTGCACAGAACATATGGCCATGGGAAAGATGAGCAGGCTGTGTCTTCTCCTCCTCTCCTCGCTCTCTTGCTTCTCTGCCATTGCCTTGTCATGGCAGCAGCCTCGCCCAGAGACGGTCGACCTTGCATACCACATGGGGCCTGTCCTCACCTCCCCCGTTAACGTCTACACCATATGGTATGGCCACTGGGAGGCAGCTCCACAAGGCATCATCAGGGACTTCCTGCTCTCCCTCTCCGCCCCTTCTCCTTCCCCCTCCGTCGGCGACTGGTGGCGCACCGTCCGCCTCTACACCGACCAAACCGGCTCCAACGTCACCGGCAGCTTCGTGCTGGCCGGCGAGCTGCACGACTCGGCCTACTCGCACGGCGCCACGCTGTCCCGCCTCGCCATCCAGTCCGTCATCAGGTCCGCCGTCGCCGCCCACCCGCAGCGGCTGCCGCTGGACCCGCGCAACGGGCTCTACCTGGTCCTCACCTCGCCCGACGTGGAGGTGGAGGACTTCTGCCGGGAGGTCTGCGGCTTCCACTACTTCACCTTCCCGGCGGTGGTCGGCGTGACGGTGCCGTACGCGTGGGTGGGGCACAGCGGCTCGCAGTGCCCGGGGATGTGCGCTTACCCGTTCGCGCTGCCGGAATACATGGTGGGGGTTCACAACGCGAGCGGCGGCGTTCGGGCTCTCGGAGCGCCCAACCGGGACGTGGGCGCCGACGGCATGATCAGCGTGATAGCCCACGAACTGGCGGAGACGTCGAGCGATCCGCTGATCAATGCGTGGTACGCGGGCGACGACCCGGCCGCCCCGGCGGAGATCGCCGACCTCTGCGTCGGTGTCTACGGGTCGGGAGCGGGAGGCGGGTACGTGGGGAGCGTGTTCAAGGGATCAGAGGGGGAGGCTTACAACCTGCATGGGGTGAACGGGAGGAGGTTTCTTGTGCAGTGGGTGTGGAACCCTGTAAAGATGACTTGTTTTGGTCCAAATGCCATGGATTAAAGGGCTGTTGTAATCTTGAGTTGAGGGAGGGAATAGCCTCAATCCCTCCTGCAGACACACACAAGAAAAGGAAGAAGAAGACACAGTCTGTCACCTTTCATTTTGAAGTTCTTCAAGAACAAATGCCCCAACTAAAAGCAGATTGTTTTACATTCAAATAGCCAGCTTTTGATTGATTTCAGAGCTGAAGTTACTTAGAACCTACAGTTCTTTGGCATGAGATGTCAAGTCCTTTGTGTATCATATCATATTTACAGAGTAATTCACTGTTAATTTTCGAAACATAATTCTGAAATAATTATCCAGAAAAAAAAACAAAAAAAATGGAAGAGAATGATTACAAAGCGGACCCAATCTTCGACAGAATAATCGTCTTTTAATGGACTGTTATCGTGTGGTTGGGCTCTTCTTCTTCTTCTACGCCGTCTCATGTGCTCCTCCCTCTCGTCTCCGGCAGCCAAACCACGCACATCCCAGTAAAACCGAAGCGCGTCGAAGGCGGCGCAGGCGCTGAAGAAGGTCCTCACCTCCGCCGCCACGCCTTGGCGGTCATGAACACGCACCGGATGCTGAACGCCGCCGGCCCACTTAGCGGCACATTATCGGATTCGGGTTCCGATTGCGGTTGAGATCCGCCCTAACTTATCGGCTCCGGGTTAAGATTTCTCAGATCCAACCCGACAACGAAGCAAGCCGCTCCCACACCTTAAGCCGTTCGATACAACTGACAAAGCCGACTCCGCCCTCGGTCGTTTCTCGCCGCCGTCTCTTTCTCCTCCTCGCCCTACCGCTTGCGGCTGTCTCCGGTGGCGTCGATCTTCTCTGGCCATTTCCGGACAACCACTAAACTGAGGTGCGAGTCTCCTTCTCTTGATCTCTTCTGACAAGATCATTGATTTACTAGTTGTTGCAGAGGAAAAGGGAGTCCATTATGGCAGTTGCAACTCAGACTTTTAAGGGAAACTTGAAGGTGATTGTGATCCCTCGGCCCCTTATCTTTCTCCATTCTTTTGTTGTGCTATCGGTTGGGAATTTGATCTAAAGCATGTGCTAATAATCTGGTAATCTGAATCAGTTCTTGCCCATCTCCAAGATATAGATAACGAAGAGAAAACCAAATTAGATTCTTGGGGCCTCTCTTTATACATGTTAGAAATTTGGCATAACCACGTAGAGTTGATTTCGTTCAACACAAAGTAAACTCCTTTCGAGGTTGTAAGATAAGACTGAGGCCAAAGTGAACGTTTGGTTGTTTGAACTTAGTTATATCTTTTAATTATAAACTTCTTGTATAACCCTATTCTGTCATAATTTATGAGGTCGACTGATTTAGAATCAGTAGCAAATCTAGATTTCTCTATCTGGCTCTTGTAATCAATCATTTCATCCTGTTTGCTCCAGAGACACATGATATAATTCTCCCCTTCTCAATGTTCTCTATTGTTCCTACAACTACTTATCCAATTACTGTATTGTAGTTTGTTTAGATCTATTTTTACTTAGACTTCTATATTATGTACTTGAAAGACAAGGGTCTTTTTCAAAGGCTAAACTGTATTTTGTTTTGTGTCTTTGTCTTAGACTTATTCACTTCTCCTAATCTTCATTTTTTTCACATCTGGATCACTGTAAACCGTACAGTTGAGCAACAAAGATTATATTATTGTAATTACTTGGTGAAATTTGTTGTTGTAGAGCCTATATAGTAACCTAGAAGAGATCTTCCGGTCTGAAGTTGTGTTTAGTTTCATGGATCATTTACAAAGTAATGTGCTCGTCAGAATATAATTGAGAGTTGAAAATAACCATATCATTTTATATTTGTGTTAGGCATATCTGAATTTTTTTTTCTTGTCCTCATTGGTGGTAAGAGCATTATGCTGTTATATTGCACCTGTGTAAACTTGGTATCGACAATATACTCAGAAAGCACTGGCTGGACTGAGGAGAATCGATTTAGAGGGTTTACGTTGGCGAGTATTTGATGCAAAAGGCCAGGTTGTTATTCTCGTCCTATGTTTGATATCTGGCAGTATATTTTTCTCTAGTAAACTCAGTATTATGCTGCTAAGTATGTTTGATGTGGTCTTTAACAATTTGACAACTAGGTCCTTGGAAGATTGGCATCTCAGATAGCAACTGTAATTCAAGGCAAAGATAAACCTACCTATGCGCCACACCAGGAAGATGGAGATATGTGCATTGTGCTCAATGCAAAAGATCTATCTGTTACAGGAAGAAAAATGACCGATAAATTTTATCGCTGGCACACTGGGTAAGGGCCAAAAGCTATTGTTGTTTTCACTAATAATTAATTTGGGATGTCCTTGTTTCCTTCCTTAGACTACTTTTACATGTGTATTGTCACAGATACATTGGCCACTTAAGAGAAAGGAGCTTGAAGGACCAGCTGGTAAAAGACCCAACAGAAGTGGTTCGTAAAGCTGTCTTGCGCATGCTACCACGCAATAAATTGCGTGATGTAAGTGATAATTTATTTCTATGTTCAAAGTTTAGTTTTACCTAAATTCTAGATAATTAAGCAGCAAATCAATTTGTAGCTCTTCTTAAGAAAATTTTCAAGATTCAAGATGCTAGAAATTTTCTCTTCTAAAATGTTTTCTTTGAACTGTATCATATATGATAAAACTAGTTTGTGGATCCTAGCAATTTGTAAAATGTCTTCTAAAATCAAGCAGCAAATCAATTTGTACCTAAAATGTCTTCTTGTTAGCAAGCGTGAGCAGGTTATCAGTTTTGAAGTTCTGATACATGAGCATGTTCATTGCATGTTATCTCTTGTTTACACTTGCAGGAACATGTACGTGCATGTTCATTAGTTCATAGTTTATTTCCAACTAACAAATTTGTTGTTCTAATTGTATATATGCAATTAGTATCCTAGTAGATGAAATATTCTTGTAAAAAAGATCACTTCTGGATGACATCCCAACCTGCTTGTCGATAAATTTATGCTACTTCAAAATTTTCAAGTATATAACCTATAATCTCAGTAGAGCAACTCCTAGTAGTTTGATACTTTGGTGGTTACTTCTTGGTCATTCATGGCTAATAAAAGCTCTATGTATCTGTAGCCTGTTTGTTTATCACTTTAATATTTTGCTAATTTTCTTTTGTGTTGAGCAGAACATTTTTATGAGCATGTACTTTATGGCAATGACAAAATAGATATCACTAGCATTAATCTTGTGTTTCATGCTTATTTAAAAACCTACTTGTTTAAGATTTTAGACAAACGTTAATAAATTTGTCAAGTATCTGGAAATTTTATTAATCATGGTCATCATGTAAAATTTCATGGAAATGACAAAGAGATCAAAGTTTTGAAGTGACCTAAATTACAACGGTACATCTTTGACAATTTGTTTTTGAGGAGATTGTGTCCCTCATGGTGTATAGGTTCAGTGCTCTTCTACTCCCAAAATACTATCTGGCGCACCACCAACTAGTCTAATGTGCACAAGAGTACACCGATAAATGCTTCAAGGAGACTGCCTTTAGTTGCCCAATAACTATTACAGGGCCATAATCATGAGTGGGATGTAACAATTTAAATTGTCCAGTTGTTTAAAGATTTTAACACAAGGTCTATTGACCAGAGGATGCATGACAAGGGACATACCAAGTGGATTGGTACCGATTCAGAATATTCTTTTTACATTCAACCATTATATTAAATCTTTACCATTTTAAATTAAAGAAAATCATTTTAATTTTTGACAAAGATGATATCTGATAGCTGATCTTACACCTAGTTATGTATAAGCTGATGATTTAGGGTCTTAAGCTGTCTCATCAAACAAGTGAAGAAGAAAGCTAGACCTCATTCGCTTAATTTGCATTCACTGACCAACTAAATGCTGAATATGTGTTCGTTAGCTCATTAGTTTGGCTTCAAATAGAAGATTTCAAGCTCTAGTTGGTTTGTTTGTTAATAAAGGATGAAAGATTCATCTGGACATCTACAAAATAACCAATGAGGTAGGGCTAATCTTACTTTTAAGTGTCTTTTATTATAGATCTACTGGTTTAATGCTCCACTCTTGATAATAGTCTTTCTTTGTGTTCATAGACTATTTGTGCCTGCAAATATGATTCATTAAGATTGCATAAGTTTTCCTACCTGTATACTAGGAACTTATGTCAAGGTCAATATACGGCAAAAATGCTTTCAAACTATATAACATGAGCATGCACTGGTGGAATAGTAATGATACTAATTGATTCATGTATTCTAATACTCTGCAAGAGACAGTGATTTTCCCTTTTGTCATTGGGCCAAATGAAATTAGCTGCTGGTAAATGTATATGAGTGTGTAAAACACATTTTATATAGAATTGAATAGGATGACATCTCTGATGGCTAAGCTGTTCTCTTATCAGTGCTGTCACATATATATGCTTGATGTATCATCATCCTTGGTTGTTGTCTATTAAGCATGTTTGTCATGCACTTGCTGACAAATAGGAAGTATTGGATCTTCGTAAAATTGCCGAGACTTAGAGAGTATGATCACTATTCACTTTAAAAAAAAAATTGCTTAGGAGTAGTATACGATTGAACACAAAGCATACTACATAATTGATGCTGGTATAGTGTCCATAAAATCTATGAATATTGCATATGCCCTTTTTCTAAGAATACTTGCTCGCTATTTTTATCTTGCTGTAGAAACTTGTTGACAGTATGAATCTTTTCCGTGGGCTCTGAAAACGTGTCTATTATATTTTTAATTGTACTGTAAAAATTATGAATCATAAGGGTTCCTTCAGGACCGTGACCGCAAGCTCAGGATATTTGCGGGAAGCGAACATCCATTTGTCGATCGTCCTTTGGAACCTTACGTGATGCCACCTCGTAAAGTGCGGGAGATGAGGCCCCGGGCTAGGCGTGCACTAATTCGGGCGCAGATAAAGGCAGAGAAAGGCAGCGCCGGACCAATCGTAAAGAAGAAAAAATAAAGAAGTGAGTTCATGAGTCTAGGTTTTTTCACGAAGGGTTCTCATCCTCATGGTTTGGCCCATTCCATGATTTCACATGTAAAATGCTCCTACCGAGATTCTTTACTTGGATTTGATGGTGTATTTCCATTTAACAAGTTAGATTTTGGGTGTCTTTACATTTCTAAATAATCCTTTGACCTGTTATGTTATAAACGAATATAGAAGACAAAAGACTATTTCTCTAGCATATCGAATCCTCGTTATGCTTTGTGGTCAAGAACTTGGCGTTTCTTCAAGGCCTTGTGATGACACCGGCATGTGTTCATTGATGGAATGTAGCCTCCAGCAAAGTTATGCAAGTCTTTGTTGTTGTGCATGTGAATTTAGAATAATCCCTGAGCGTCTGATTTGTTGTATGACAAACCACCATATGCTATCACACGATAAGGGGTGTAATATTAAAGCCGGTCGAGATTTCTCTTCAGTCTCCAATTTGATCTGATGGCATCGTTACGTACAAAATTAAGATATAAATTCAGCATTTGTCGTGCTATTTTTTAAGATTTTCAAATCTTTTAAATATAAATTTTTATTATATTAAATGAGAGCTAATTATATATTATCTTTTGTAATTAATTATCTTTAACATATCAATCTTAATATTTTTAAAAATTATATTGAAATTTTTATATTTATGTAAGCAAAATATTTAATCCCATTAATTTGAATGTTTTGAATATAAAAATCTCAATGTAACTTCTAAAAATATAAAGATCAAAATACATTAATTAAAAAAAAAATTATAATTAACCCCGTGAAACGATGACAATCAAATTTGAATATAAATCTGAAATATGTTACTTATGCAATAATATATTAATCAATCGGATATCAACACAACACAAATGATGTTAGGTTATAAGTGCAAGCACACCATACTACAAGTGATCTAATTGTAGACAATCAAAGCCTTGCATATGAACAATCTGTTGCAAATAGGGTTATAAATGAACCACTTGTGGACTTACAAAACAGTCCCTTAATACATGTGGCATCGATAACCAAGTGAGTTTCACCTTTACATTCATCTCAGTATTGTCATGGTGAATATGATGAACTGATAAATTTCACCTTTACATTCTTCTTGCTATTGGTATGGTGAATATGATGAACAGGCTGAGACCAAACGGAAACGATCATCGTTCAGGCATATACAATTTATTGGCACAAACAAAGATGTGATTCCACATCAACCAATAATACAGATGAAGGTGTTGAGCTAAGCTGAACACAGGCAGGCCTTTTGCTTCGCTAGCGAATGTTTCAAAGTCTTAATTAGGTTTGGGTTGTCGTGCAGGTAGCTCTCGAAGGACTCCCTTAAACTTGATAGCAGCTGCACATCACTTCCATTGGACCTCATGTTAAGCAGTTGAGAAAATAATGGCTTCCACAAATCGGAATTCCAATACCTGAAGACCAGAATGATCAAACCATTAGAGGTTCTCTATTTGTAACATGAGGACATTGTTAAACCTTGGTTGGAAGAACATTGTCCAGCCACCATCGCATTAGTCGACAGAAAAAGAATGAACCAATACCTTTTAAAAGGTAATTTTGGTCCATAATGGTAGCTCCCATCTGGATTAACCTTCTTCTCTATGGTCATATATGATCCATGGAGCATCATGTGGACAATGACACAAAGGCCGTAAGTGTCAACCTTGCATAACAGAGAAATCATGTGAAATAGAATGATTTGTAACATTTGCTAAACACTTGGCATGATACTTGGAATGATTTGAACTCAAGATACAGACCTGGTATTTCCACGGTTGATTGTCTTGCATCTCTACACATCGAAATCCAGATGTTCGGCAATCCCCGATAAATCTTGTATCAGCAGGGAAAAGGCTTAGATCAATGCCCCTTCCCCAATCGACAAGGCATAATCCCTGCAACAATATACCATATTATCCTAAGAAAACTAACTTGAAGCTTATGATAGTTGACTTGAAGCTTCAAGATAAGGACAAGCTGATTTGACCTGATCTCGCCAAGGTCCACTTCTGGTGATGAATGAAGCTTCTGTCAATTCTTCCCTTGCATATCAAAGAAAGATCATCAGATGCTCATGTATCATTAGAGTAAAACACAAATAGCCTTGAATCACCACTTTGATGACTTCCAATCTTATTAGAAAAATACAGAATTTTATAATAGTGTCAATCTATAATAAAAAAAAGAAATACAATTTTTTAAGAAGAAAAAGAAAAGTTTGGAGTCAATCTTTAATATGCTAGAAATTAAATGTCCAAAATTCATATTGAGTTTGAAAGCATTCATATGCACAGACAGAATATTAATAGATTGTGCATATTTCATGTACAGATTGAGACTGATCTCATGCATGAAGGGACAGAAACAAGATACTAAAGAATATAACATGATGGAAGTGTCACAACATCCTTATTTTGATAGTAATCAAAAGGGAGGTACTATAGTTTTCTCATAGTCCAGAACACCATTGGAGAAGGAACATTTATGTTCAAATTCTCTACATCAAGCATTTTTTCTTTGTTTCTGATCACAAAAAAAAAGTCCAACGACTAAGATTATCATCTAGTTACATGTCTTGCATAGATGTTTATTATGGAAGAGATTATCATTGAAATAATGTACAACATCTCTAGTAATTACCTTGCATAGCGAACTAGTAGATTATCTGGCTTGAAATCACCATGAATAATGCCAACACTATGCAAAGTCTCCAGCATGCGCAGCATCTCAATTGTGTAGTATATGCATAGAACTTCTTCCATAAGCTTGTGCGTCACCAAGTTTGAATTTATAGCATCCTGCAAGAAGCAGAGCTACATATGACCAAGACACTCGAAGCAGAAAATCTCAGAGAACAGATATTGCAGACTTAAAAAATAAGTAGTGACTAGAGAAAAAGTTGACCAATGATTCACTTTTTTTCACAAGATTCAATTACCTGAAGTGTTCCATGGGACAAATAATCACAAACTAGTACACTCAAGTCAGCAAAGATGTGCACTTTATGAGCAAAACCAAAGCTTGATCTCTGATAGCAAAGCTTAAGTGTAAGCAAAATCTATAAGCATACGTCAGGACTGAAGATAGAAATCAAGGCAATGGCTAACCTCAACATCAGGGATGCGCTTATCAAGTTGACGATACATATAAAACTCCCATGGAAATGCAGGTTTTTGAATCTGACGATGCAACATAAGTACTAATGCTAGCTATTATTAGACATTACCAGAATAATAAAACATGGAATAAATTTTCACCTTCAGTGCAAGGACATCATCAGGATTGCTGTCGTTGTAAGCCTTGTATACCTGAGCAAACCCACCAAGGCCTGAGCAGCCTTTTATCTGGTATTTGCAACCACCTTCAAAATTTAGATAATTAAACAAAAACAAATTAGTTTCAGTCCGTTATAAGCCAAGACAAAGGCTGACTCAGCATAATTTTAGATGGAACAACCCAAACGTCCAGTTTTCAGATGCTTGATATTGAAACAGCATTGAATATGAGCATACTCACTCCTGTTTCATTTTTATCCAACACATCTTCGCACAATACTCTAACTCGAATTAGAAAATCTCATCAATATTCCTGTGGAATCTTAAAAGTTGATTGTCATCTCTGCAGAATGCTCAAGTAACAAATATAAAGATGCCTTAACACATGTGTTAACAATCACGCATCATTTCATCATTTCATGTCACTGATAATATGTCAAATTTAGGTTCAGCCTCTCAAACCTCCATATACTGAAGCCAACTAGCATACAAATGGAACGATTTAAATCGATCTCAAAAACCCATAATAACTGTTTATTCTCTCAGATGCATTCTACAATTCCATGAGAATCAGTTAACATCCCATCTACAGATTTTTCTTTATGCTTAGCATCTGAAGATCTGCAACCTTTCTATTCATCATAAATATGTTACAATTTTGGTTGTCTCACGCATATACTGTTCTCCAAAACGGATGCACTCAAACAGCTAAAACCCACTATCATTATCCCAAAGACCAAAACAACGATAGAATCGAATGACTGAAAAACAGTTAATGATCGCTCACGATATACCTCCTTTTTTTAATAACCTAGAAGCAATATCTATTTAAAACAATTTTTTTAATATAAATTGGACCATTATTTTTTATTCAAATGTGTGCGAGGATCACTATGGAAATTCATTTGTACAATCTTGCCATCATTAGGTGTCATAAATTATCTAGTAAAACAATTATAAGAGAACAAATGGTACAACCAGCAAAGAAGAGAGAATGTAATACCTAGCTCCACGATTTTATTTCTTGAAGAATTCTTTAAGGAAGATAAAGATACCTTCCCTGAATATACTTTACTGCTACGGCAATAACCCTGTAATGAGTTCACAAAAGCAGAGACTGTCAAAAAGAAAATATCAGCATATAAATATGACTCGTTTGCAAGTGAAGCTTACATTATATTTTCTGATATTAGTATCCATCTTTTTCAGCAAATCATCAATGGTAGGCATTGACCATGGATTGACAAGAGTTGGCTGCTGATTTAGTGATCTACTACTCATGTCACTCTACAGAATAAGCTTGTAAGACATAAGATCGCTTGTTCTCACATTTGAATTATGGTATGCACACTAAAGATAAAAGTGCACAGCAACGGAAATATAGATAACAAGCAAATCCACTCAATTTAAAAGAGCTAAAGTATGCCCATTATGTAATTATCACACTCGCATGAAGCAACAAATTCCTATATGATTATTATCAAGACCAACTAAGAACGATTAGTAGATTCACATACTTCTCGCCACAAAATAGTGTGGCCCAACCAATGCAATAAACTATAACATCAATAAACATCACTTAGATAATTCCAAGTACTAGTTAAGAAACATGAAAATTTGATGTAAAGTGCTTTCATTTATTTCTTTTCTCATTTGCCACGAAGTTGATATTGCATTCTAGCATATCGTGACAGGTCTCCTGGTACATATACAAATAAAATTAGCAAAAAATAAATAAAATTTTTATGCTAAAAGTTTCCATTTACTTTCATAATTCATAAAACATCTAACTTTATGAAATTGAAAAGTAGAAGATCTAAGAAAAAGAATGACAAAAATAACAAAGAATACTTAAAATTAATTATATACATCACACAAAAGACTTGAAGGCTGTTCATCTGTGATTATACAGATAGAAACCCATCTCCATGGCTAGAAATGATGATGCAAATTTTAAATCAATCTTTATGATGAGGCTAGGGTCAGCTAATAGTCACTTACAAGAACCTTCACCTTGAATTTGATACTAACTTTTAAGCTCTCCATTTATGCAACCCTACTTCCCTTTTAATTTTGTATATGGTCAAGAATGTTTTGAGTTATACAGGCCTAAAAGATATACTGGCCACAGCACAGTAGACATCCACAAACCACTCTACTGCAGTTCTTTTTTGTAATAATCCCAATAGTACATCCTAAAAGGAGATGGCCAATCTGGGCCAATTCAATTTAAGGCCTAGAATATGACATTGCCACAAGAAAGATGTCCATTTAAACCTAATGTTTTTGGATATTAATGCTCACACCTCCCTTTATTGAAAATGACATCCTGACCTCTGAGTTCCAACCTATTTATACTCTGCCCCTAGGTTCCAACCTAATTACGTCTACTATTTCTTGACATTATTTGTTTGCATGTCATCTTACATTTTTAAATGACACACATCCCATTTAATTTAATCAAATCATAAAAAACTGGATCAAACTGAATCTATTCAAAATGTTATTGAATAAGACCAGATCACTATATTCAATTGAATCTGATCATATATAGCTGGATGAAGTCCAGTCCATCCACTCTGTTACTAATTAGGTTGGATCACAAATTGGACTATTTGAAACAAATTGCCAGTCCATATCAGTCTTAACATGACCATGAATTAATTACTTACAAGTGTGCCAATCATTGTCCCTGACATATGTTACTTAATATACAAACTTGTAAGAACTAGAGGACCACAAAACAGTTGATGACTGCTTGTATCAAATGCCAAGAGAGTCCTTGAGTTTAAAATTGCAGGATGGATGTCAGCAAATACCAGTTCAAGCAAAGGGTTAGAAGAAGTAGTAAGATGGAATTGAACTAAAACAAATAAAAGTAATCTCTTATTACCAGTTTGATATCTTATTAGGAAGCATGATGGGCACTTATTAAGAATAAGCAGATAGACCCAGGAAAAAGAGTCCCCAACCAATAATGTCTATCCAGATAATTTAAATGAGACCCTTATTGATGTCCATTAAAAGGCATACCAAGAATATGGTTGTGGCATATAGCATAATTTTGTTATGCATTTAATGAAGTTAACGAAAGGCCAAAACCAAGGCAATAGAAATGGCTAGTAATATTTTACCTTGTTTTATTTTTTTTTTCTCCAAAAGTTTTGCTCTCATTTTTGTTTTTATTAAGAAGGGGCAGTGCCATGAAAGAACAAGATTTGTGTATGCTGAACTACCTGGTTTTGACATATAATTATTGAGCATTCAATAACAAAAAAAAGCCTTCAACTCATAAAAATAATAATCTATATCAACAAAAATGTTAATAGGATATACACCATGTGCTTAAATTAACAACACAAGTTTCACCTCATTGTAAATATCTGGTTTTCGTTGCTCTATACATTTGTTTGGATTACCTTAAGTATGTGAAACTTACAGTTGGTCTATAAATAGAAAATTTTCTATAGCTGAAGTAAAGTTGTTATGTGAAAGTACTGTTTTTTCTCTGTTCACAATTTAAGCTCAATTAATATGGCAGAAGAGGCAGATATCAACCATCTAACGCACCATACTGATAATGGAGTTAAATGAAATAAATGAAGCAAGAAACCAATAGTACAAAAGCAAAGATCGGACCTTCGGATCAGCAGCTGCATTCTGAGCAACAGCAGCTAAATGGTTCAGGAACATGCCATGCATCTTCTTTAGTCTATCAAGTGGCTCCGCGTTCCTAATTCACCACACATGTCACCATGAGTAAATCAGCGTCATTGTCATCTTTGACTCCCCAAGATAATAGGGGGCTGAGAGAGAGAATGATGAAGGATCGAACTTGGAGATCCCCAGCTGGAAGACTTCATGGGCCTCCACCAGCTTCCCACCCGCAACAAGAGACATGGCGTACGCCTCGTAAAGCAAAGAATGCGCCTGGCAGATCCCCTTGACTTCCATGATCCTGAAGACCCTCTCGAAATCCTGAATCGCGTCCCCCTACACCATCGCTCACAATAATACAAACCCCACCAATTCGCGTCACGCAAAGGATGACAAGAAACAGGGAATGTGCGGCGGCTCACGTATAGAATGCAGATCTTGAGAAACCTGACGTCGTCCCGGTACCCCTCATCATCAGCGAAGCTCCTGACGCAGTCCTCCAGGAGGTCCCTGAAGCAGGCAGAGGCGGTGGGGTCGTCCGGGTGGCTACGGGATTCCGCCGCCGCCTCGTAGATGGACCTGAGCCAAATCGAGCGCAGGTTTGAGGACAGAACCGGAGGTTAAAGAAACGAATGAACTAAGCAGTAGCGGGGGGCGTGACCGGAGCCGTGGGAGGATGGGATCGACGAGGGAGCGAGTAGATGGTTCGTCCTGCGTCGGCCTGCAACAAATAGGAAGAGATTAGAGAAGAGGGGGATAACTGGAAACGGAAGAGATTGGGATCGGGAGGTACCATGAAGGATCCTTGCGGAGGGGGTTATCGTCGCAGTCGAATTGGACCATCTCCGGCGGGTTTCTTTGACGGTGGTGACGGAGTGAGGAGGCGGAGAGGGCGGAGGCAGTGGCAGCGCCGAGAGTGAGGAAGAGAGGGAGTTTTGAAATTTGGGATCCGCCACTTTTGAGTTTGCGGGTCACGTGCTCGGGAGCAGTGGGTGTGGGGGACACGGAGGGTATAAGTCAATTAATCGACGGTTTGGATTGAATCAAATTGAAGATGGGTTTTGTTGGGCCATCCATCTATAGACGAACGGCCCATTCTGATGTCGAGCAAATTGTTGGGACGGATCCCACTCTGATAATATGTTATTATATTTTTTTCCAAAATAAAAAAGTAAAAACAAAATGGTATTACTTCAAAACATTTTGGAGGCCAATTGGGCCTTTTGACAGAGGCTAGAATGTCAATTTGTGGACAAACTATGACAGTCATAATGGTGGTTTTACAGTTCAAATTATGTGGATGTAATGTTACCTTCAACCCATGACATCTGGTCGTGTGAAAGCCCAAGTTGGTTCTTCTTCATAGCAAACACAAAGACACAAGACTGTCGAGAAAACAGAGCATGATGCTACAGGGAAAGCTTTCTCTCAACCAGATCTCACTTCACAGGGTCATAAGAACAACAAATACTTCTGAATCATGCCAAACGTCTGAATTCAACGAAGACTGATGGGTTCCCCACAGAGTTGCCCGACTTCTCCTTCCAAAAGCTGCAGTAAAGCAGCCTTAGTCCTCCTATACACCCAAGTCTTAGCCGTCGAATCCCAGTCGAACCTTGCAGGACCACTGCAAGATGAAACAAGATACAAGTGTCTGTAACATCAGATGAGATATGGGGAAAACATGATTGATGAACTGGCCAGTGGCCGTAAGAATGAGTGCGAAAGCCATGAGTACTATTTCAAGCGGAGAATCCAGGATGTGTAACATGGTAGATGACGATCCAATTTACAGTTACAAACAGTTGCGACACAAACTATCATCTTAAACATGACCTCGAGGCATGAAAGAAGTATATGATTTCAACATCATCCACAATGGAAATTATAAATTTTCATAAAAAACTCCTGCACTACGCCTAATGGTACACCGACCATCATTATACTATCACCATTTGCAATACAACAACATTTTCTGATTATTCACATCTTGACCATTTGGAATGTGGCAACAAACATGTAAGGATGGATGTAACAATTTTGACCATTTGTCCAACTCATTTGAACAAGAATGACCACATACATACACTATACTTGCAAAGTTTTTCTTTATTTTGTTTCCAAGTCCAAACTATAGGACACCTTGCCTCGTTGTCTTTAGAGAGACACCACAACTCCTCCCAACTTTGACCTGGTTGTCTCTAGAGAATTTGCATAAGGATTCAAATAAAGGGAAAGCAACAGTTGGTTCCGTTAATATACCTTTAATCCAACGGCATAAGGTACACTTGATAGTTTGGTTATAGTTTACCTATGGACTAAGCTAAAATCTGTTGATTATGCTAATAAAGGACCACGACAGAGGCCAGGATGTCAATTTTATAATAGCTATTGGCCAGGGTTTGTATTCCAAGAATCCTACTGATAATGATTAAGGATTCGGTGATTTATATAATCAGAATTTTGTTTTCCGTCATAGAGAAGTTCTTAAACTAGGCAGCAATATATGATATGCATTTTCCCCAGATAACCACATCAATCTGGAAGATGCAACAACCAACCTAGTTCCAGAGAAAATTAAACCAACAAGAACAAGTTGTTCTTTCCTTTCAGAGCAAGCAAAATTCATCTGTCCTTTCTCCAAGTTAGTTCCACTTCTGCATCAATTACAACTCAGCAAACATACAAGTCAATTCCTATTCATATACCGTCATCATATTTTGTGCCTCGTTTTAGCACAATTAGGGTTAACAAAACAACATATTGCAGAATTCCAGAAGCAAAATGCTAGAGACCATAATGTTGAATTTCAACGTGCATGTGCAGTACGGCATACTGAGCACGTATCCACCCATGTGCTCTATTTTGTCACCAACAAGAATCTAGAACATGAGGCAATATCATGGGATCGGCTACATGATACCCAACTTCCAGATCCAGTAGGCAACCACATTCTCATGATAGCATGTACGCATTTGTCTTCCTCTTGACACTCACTGTGCTTCCTAGGCAAGTCAAAATCATGTTAAGTGATTTTATCTTGCTTCTAACAAACCATGTTTAGAATCACATGGGTTTAACCTTCCAAAAGATCTCTAGAGTTGCCCTTGAGTAATAATTTCATGACGTTATGTCACGGACAAAACTGTAAACATGGTGTTTAATGTAATACTCATGTATGTTCGTGTCTTTTGGTTTGTTCATTCTTTGCACAGCATGTAGAGAGACGGTCGAAAGCTTAACAGTCCCATTTTAGTTAGGTCTGGTGACCGTTTTAGGCTTGTAAATAAAGGTTGTGTCATGTGGACACTTGTGAGAGAAGCTCGGTCTGTAATGGAACATTTTAGACCCTTTGTTGAGCGACCGTTCAAAGCTTGTAATGTATGTTTGTAATTTGCATTGGCTATGAAGTGTTTACTGAAATGATTGCTTGTGGATCCCAAGTGAGACGCTTTCTCTAATTTGTTTTCTCGTTTGTAGGTCCTAAGGGACCATAGGAGATTTCGAGGAGGCTGACCTTTGTGGACGGACACGCAAAGGTGCCGCACGACTTAGGCAAAACCAACTAAGTTTGTGACAGCTAGGTTATCATAATTTCCTTCACTCGTTCCTAAAATGGATCAGTAAGTATCTAGGTCCTATTGAAGTGACGATCAATTCAAGAAGCACAACAAACCCCTCGTACCACTACTACAATTACTGATTTCCTTTTGTCACCAAACAAAAGTTCATGATGAACAATAGGTTCCACAAGAAAAGTTGGTCCTAAGGGTGGTAGGGATCTATAAATTATCCATGTTAAAGATATCACTTGATGTGGAATCTTCTTGGGCATATATCGTATCATCCTTCATACATGCTGTTCCAAATAACTTAAAGATACATGAGCTGGTTCCAGAAATTACAAAAACAAGGAAAATAATCTTATTAACTAGCAAATGTAAAGCACAGATTTCAATTCATCTGAACACAAAAAAGAAATGGACATGGATTCAAAATTACAAGCAGCATCAGAATAGAACACGAATATATGCTGGAACTTACAAAAAGCTACCAGAAAATAAAGGTGAAAAGATACCAGAGTATGGTATCCAAGAAATGGCCAAAATCAAGATTTAGCCATGGTAGCCAACAAAGGCCCTGAAGCAAGATTTAGAAAACTAGATGATTTGATGCCTTGTTATTTCTGGTTAATACTAAGAAATTTCTACCTCAAATAGTTTAGACATTACAACTTCTTGTTGATGCTTTTGTCAAGAAACCTATATGTTCCTTACCCTCAAAGCAGAAGCAATCCACCAAATGACCTCTATGAGGAGGGCATTCCAATGGTTTACATTACATGCCAACATCTACTTTCCTACTAGTTAATATACTATGCTATGGTTGCTACATTCAACCCTTGTTATTTCTGCCCATTCAAAATCCTACGTTCTGTCATTGTCCCTCTTATTCCAGCTCATTTTAAGAGGTTATATTTTAGATTGGCAGAATCATATACATAATCACCAAGCTTGAGATTGTTGTTTTAGCATCTAAGCTGAAAAATTAGTTACAAATTCTAAGCTATGCAGGTAATCCATGAAATTTGAAGCCTTCCTCAGTCATGGCTCTTCTTGTATAAATAGAATTCCTAAGAACAGGCAGTACACCGATTTGACCAATCACGAACAAATTTTAAACTTCAAAGGTAAGCATGTCTAGCTAACTCAAGCATTAAAATGGTATTACTGATTTTGAATATGAAAGCAACCATGCAACTCCACAATATAAACTCTTATTTTTTCATTGACGACCTTATCACCTAAAACAATAAAATACATAGTTTTATGTATAAAATCAACAAAAATTCATACTCCCAGTACCTCACCGGCGACGATAACCAGATTTGTCTATTCGGAGTTTGCTTGTTTATGACGTAAGTTCCCAAACTCCCTAGCTTCAGTGTCAAAACGTGATTCTGCTCAAGATGCATTGCGATGAATCAACTTAGCCAACTAATAAAGCTCAGAGATGAGTGAGAAAGCAGAAATATTCCAACTCAACTCACCCCATAGTCTACTTCATAACCATCAACTTGTATGGCATCACCGTATTCCTGCCGGAAGAAAGAAGGTACAAAACCAATCAAGACCTCCGAAGTCGTGCACGCTTTTCAAAACAATAAATCGCAGAGATTGATCACAAAAGATACCTCGAACTTTTCCAACAAGTCATGTATCGTCTCATCTGCTAGGGTATGGAATTCCTCCTCCGACATGAGAGATCTGTCATATAAAACGGATTAGTAACGAATCAAGGAACATATGAGAAGAAGAATCAAATCAAGGGTAAAGCTCTATCTCATTATATCATCGGATCCCAATCGGAGCCTCTTTCACAAACAAGCTCTCGCTCCAAAGAAAAAGGAAGGGATTGTCCGAGGGAACCACGCACCGGTAGTCTACGGCAGCGGGATTCTGCCTTTCGTCAAGAGCCGATGGCCGGGTGGAGAAGGAAACCCTGGAAACGCATCGAGGGCCGAGAACCGACCACGGCCCAGGTGGAGAGAAGAGACCGCCACCGCCAACGTCAGCGGGAGCTTCGGAGGCTACCAGAATCGATGAGGTCCGCCGAGCTCTTCTCAGCGTCGATAAGCGCTGGAGAAGAAGCCTCGGAGCGAAGCGCGACGCCATGGCCGCTCAGGGAAGCGAAGCGGGGCGCACGGTGGGATTTAGTGGAGGGCCAGCGCGTGGACACGGTTGAGTCGAACCAAATTGTAGGCGGACCGAGCCACAATGTTGAACCAAATTGAAGGCGGACCGAGCCACAATGTTGAACCAAATTGTAGGCGGACCGAACCACAATGTTGAACCAAAAGGTCTAATTTCATGTGATATTTTATTAGAGATTGATGTCATAGATAATTTCGAATCTCATAATTAAGAAATTTTATAGTTATATAATTAGAAAAATAAATTAGTATTTAATCAGTATCAAAAATAAATTAGTAAAAAAGTAAATTAATATTTAATTAAAGGATTCTCAGTCTATATAAATCAATTCATATTATAGAAAATAAATTAGAATGAAATATTATATAGAATTAATAAATTAATTAGAATGAATTAATAAATTATGTATAGAAAAATTAATGAATGAGAAAAATTATATTCACTTATATTCATGATATTAGAGCCCGATTTCTTAGGAATTATTTTTCTTCTTTCTTTTAAAAGTTTTTTCTTTTATTTTATCACTCTTCGGATCAATTCTAATTATTTCTTCTTCTTTCTTTGCTTATGAGAATTTACATTACTATATCTAGAGAAGAGAAGAGAAGACGAAACGAATGCTTTCATATCTTTGTTAATTATAACGCAAAAACTCGATGATCGTCTTAGGCTATAAAATTATATATTTAAGGAAAAGGAAAGATGGGTTATTTGACTCAATCAATAATGACAGAGGATAATCAATAGCATTCCCCATTTGTCTTGAAAACTCTAAAATAAAAGTAGTTGATGGATTACTTCCTTCTACAATAGGGAAAGAGACAATTATAATTTTAGATTCCTTTGTATTAAATTTTGTTCTTCATGTTCTTAATTTTTCTTGTAACTTATTGTCTATTAGCAAACTTATAAAGGATTTACATTGTATTACTAAACTCTTTCCTTCTCTCTATGAATTTTATAACATGTATTGGAGGAAGACGATTGACAGTGGTAAAGAGAGTGAAATACTTTATTCTCTTTGAAGATTATGCTACTTAGAAATGGACAGGCTCATTTAATAATAAATAGTAACACTCCTTCTAATAGTAATGAAATAATGTTGTGGCATTATAGATCAAACCACCGAAGCTTTCCTTATTTGTGAAGGCTTTTACCTGCATTATTTAGAAACAACAATATTTTTCTATTTTAATGTAAAATTTGCTAATTTGCTAAACACGATTGCACTATTTTTTTTCTTCTAAAATCATTTAATCTTATATATAGAAACATTTGGGGTCCTTCTAGAATGATAACATTTATTGATGATCGAATAAGAATATGTTTGGTTTACCTCTGAAAAGAAAAACCTGACGCTAAAAAAATAAATATTTAAGAACTTTCATACTATAATCCAAAATCAATTTTAAAAAAATATAAATTTTGAGAACTAACAATAGTAGAGAATATTGCAATATCATTCTTAGTAGGACTTTATGTGTTGATAGCCCCAATAAAATGATATTACAAAATGAAAAAATAGACATGAAGTAACATGCTTTCTTTTATTTACCACTTATATTCTTAGGTATCTCCGGGAGATATCATTCTTGTTGCTTTATATTTGATTAATCAAATATCTACTCGAATATTTAATTTTTAGACATCTCTTGATTGTTTGTCTTTCATTTATCCATGTATAAAACTGTTTAGCTCTCTTTCGCTAAACGTATTTGGATGTATTACTTTGGTCCGTATCCATAACCATCATCCAAGTAAACTTGAATATCATAGATTAAAATATCTATTCATTTTCAGACTCAAAAGGGTTACAAATGTTATGATTCTATATCGAAAAAAACAATTGTCACTATAAATATAATGTTTTCGAAAACCAAATATATTTTCAAAAAACTCATCTTTAGGGAGCCAATTCTGAAGATTGTTTTTGAAAATTATCTTTATCAATTCATATTTTCTTATCAAATTTATCTCCTACTTTACTCTACTAAACCTACCTAGCCAACAACTAACTAGTCCTATTGATACTCCTAAATCCAAAACTTAACGTATTGTTATCTCTTTCAATTAATTTTGAATAGTCTTTACATCAATTAGATATGAAAAATATCTTTGTCAATGAAGAACTAGAGGAAAAAGTATAAATGGATCTACCACCTGCCTTTAAGAATATTCTATAAATGGTCAGATAAAAGAGAATACTATTCTTATAGTTTATATGGATGATATTATCGTAATAGACAATAATATCTCATAATTAGAAAAATTGAAATATATCCTAGATAAAAAAATTTGATATGAAAATAACAAGATCAAAGAATAGAATATTTCTTAGGCACGAAGGACGACCACATTTCATAAAGAAAAAAATTGAAGAAAGAATTATCTATATGCCTTACAATATTCTACCATGAATGATTGAATATTCGAGTCAACATATAGAAAATCTCATAATTAAATAATTTTAAAAAAATTAATGAATAAAAAATATATTATTTTATATTCCATTCTTTTCCATAAATATCCAAATACCCTTCAATTGATTTTGAGAGGAAAACATCTATTATGTCGAATTTAATTTCGGATAGGACGAAATCCATAATTATATAATTCTATAATAATGACAACAAATCAATTGTTACATAAGTTAAACCTAAAATTAAGTTAAATATTAAATTATACCTAAATATCAAGTACGAAAATAAATATTAAGTTAACCTAATATATTGATCTCATAATGATGTATTAGACTCACTCATCAAATATGGAAGATCTAAAACCTCATGTGACAACTCAAACAGGCTAGCTAGCTTATTTTATCACTTCACTCGAGTATTCTCTGTTCTTGATATGTTTCCCTTACCTTGTAAAACTTTATTTCTGTCACTCTGTAAAATCACACTCTGAGATGTGAGATAATCATCTAGAGAGAGATGAAATTGAACACCAATGTGATATTGGAGAGGGGAAAAAGATTGCATCTTGATTGCTGCAGATAGAGGAGGTGAGGGTTTCAGCTTTGCTACTTGAGGTCAAAGCTTTCATATCTCTCAAGCTCACAATAATTTCTTTCTATTTCAAATAAAACTGATTCTAATGATAGCAACATACAACAACAACAACAACAAAAACAAAAACATATAACAACAAAAGCAACGAAAGCCATAATAACTCGAATACAATGTTTACAATCATAAAACCATGTGCATGTGTGATGGTTCTTATTATTTGTATCAGAGAGGACAGGAAATAAACATGCAACTCTACATGGGCATCATGCAAACAGGGCATGGTTTTGGAAGCATAAATACTTTTCACAAAGCAATTGAAACTTTTTGATACTAAGAAGACTCTGAGGAACCGGAAAAGATACTCATCCATCGTCGAGCCAGTAGATAGTGAAACAAGGGGCAGATTGTTGAACTAGATTCATTTGATAAGGCTGCGGAGTCGCCTCATTCTCAGGTAGTCTCGTATGTTTCTCCCTTTGATTCTTGGCCACAGCACTCTAGCAAATTGAGATAATAGCACATGGAATAAATTAACGACAGCCAAAATATAGCGTATGACAAAAAAGCAAAACACATATATGTAATCATGAAATAGTAAGGTCGAAGAACCGATCGAAGGCCAAAAGAGAAGAAACCGATGGGAAAATGTCGCTCAAGAGAAGGATCTCGAAGCTACATTTCAAGATCTTGAACTCATGAATTAATAAGGTCTAAACACCTATCAAAGACCAAAAGAAGAAAATGATGGAGAAAAGTCGCTCGAGAGGAAGATCGTGAACCAGCATTTTGATATCTTGAATAGGTTATGCAGGCAATTGATAATTTTGCTTAAAACAAGATAACTCACAAACAAACAAACATATGGAAGCCAAGAAGGTAAAATGTTGAATAACAATCACTTATGATACACAAAACTCGCACAGAGATTGCTATTGGTATTAAGATTTACTGACTATTAAAAAATAGTCACTAAAACTTGATAATTTCTAACCTTGATTCAAGAGAACCATGCCAAAATCCATTCGCTTGTCAATCTGCATGAACATAGAATTAGTTTAACAAGTTAATCTTTGGAGATTTTGCAAACTCAGAAATGTACATGATGATGAAGGTACAATCTTATCAACTTTTAGGCAGCATTTCAGATTTTGGAATTACTATGAGATCAGAATATGTTAATTCTTGTAAGCTAATGTAAGTCAGAAGGACAATGTCCAGAGAAAGGCCCCTGTTTCTCATATATCCAACTTAAGGACCATTTTTTCTTCCTTTTCCCACCTGCACACCATTGACCCTGTGTTACACACCTTGCTCAAAAACTACGCAAGATGTGTAATAAAAGGGAAAAGGTGCATAAGGAGGACTGTCTGTGGGAGAAAATCCAAGTCAAATCCAAATAAAAGTAAAATAAGTTGTTTTACACTAAATCAATGACACCAAGTAAAGGATATCTCCCAACAAATGAGCTGTTGCAAAAAGTTTAATCAATATAAATATAATGCCACCTGTTTGTAAAATACTAAGAAATCAAAGAGATGAAACCAAGAAAACAGAAGCAAAAATTATTCTTTGCTAGAACAGCAGAATTTCAACGGCCTTCAGAATCCTAAACAATTCCAGCACAAAAAGCCCGGGGAGGGAATAAAGGCATAACCGTTGCTGGTACTGAAGCCATAAATCTCATTCTCAGAATCTACATGGCATCTGCTAACCACAAGCTGTTAAAGAAATCTCGATGAAAGCAAGAAAAAAGTCAAAGAAGATTGTTAATATGTTATGCAAACATGTAAAATCAGAATAACACCCCTAAACAGTCAACGACCACGTCATCTACACAGTTCCAGATTTCTGGATCATTTTATACAGAAGCAAGATCAGATCCAAGCTACTTGTCAGGATCATATTAAACTCATTAGTGGTCTAGCAGAAACATGGATCTCTCAAGAAAATGGAAGACCGCTTACTAATAAGCCCAGAAAGAATGAATTGAAGTGTACTCCTAGAGTTGAAGCAATTCTTGGCAGAAAAATATGATATTGCACTTGCTATGGATTGGCTGCATGATTGCGAAGGCTTATCATACTAGATGAGAAAATGTCACAGCATTGCATTTAGAGGAAAAATTATCACAATTTGTTGTGAAAGAACGACACAACCCCTTCTGAGTATAAATTAAAAACTAACCACATAGGATTCAATATTGGGTCATGAAATTCATCTTTCAACGGAGCAAGCGAAGTGAATATGTTGGAATCCTTTTAGTGGATTTTTCATTTTTGAACATATGGTTACTAATGAACCAAGAATGCAAGGATTGAAGTGTACTACTCCTAGAGTTGAAGCGAACTAGGTGGAAAAGTATGATATTCCACTTGTTATGGACCGGCTGCATGACTGCTAACGCTTATCACACATAATAAGAAAATTTCACAGAACTGCATTTTGAAGAAAATTCAATACAATTTGCTGTGAAAAAATGACACAACCACTCTCAAGTACAAATTGAAACTTGACCAAATAGAATTCATGAGTGGGACATGAAATTGATGTTTGAGAGAGAAAGATAAGTGAATTTGTATGGATATTTCTAGTAGATCTTTGAGTATCCGGGTGTACCTGACTTAAACTGGGTTTGGATAACTTTTAATCGAATTTGAGATGAAGTCAGATAGGAAAATAGATAATGTGCTTGGATTTGAGTATTCACGTGACTAGTTGTGTTTGGATTTGAGTAGGACTAAACTATTATACTCCCATTTATATGCACTAACTTTATGACATAGTAGTTCAAGTTTAAAATATGAAACAAAACATGACTTACATTTAATTCTTATTATGTTTTATGATGCCAATTTTGCTAATGCTTCTAAATATCAGAAAAAGATTATACATCTGTAAAGCATCCTTATGGATCCTATATCCATAGAAAAGGGACCCATTGTCTTTTGGGATAAAAGCTACAATCTATCTCGATGAGATGTTTTTTATAGTAAATCATCCCCAATATAAAATTATCAGTAGAATGAATTTGATGAATAAATTTATCCAATGACTTAAATAGTGACTCAATTCAGTTAATAATCAAATTGGAGATGGTTCAAGGGTGATTAATAGGAGCAATGTTGATCTCACTATCTGTGTTATGTACAACATACAGTATATTGTTTTGTAAATAACAGCTAGGTTATATCCAATAATGGATTTCGAGCCAAAATTATCACGTAAAGAATACTTAATTAGCTTGCATCTTGATCCATAACCGCCACACATGCACACAAGGCTGACAATGGATGGAAGCCCAGTAAATCCAATACTACTATATTCCAATATGGATCAAGTTTACATCCCAATGCCCCAAGAACAACATATGACACATTCAACTCTATAATCTGTCTTCCATTCTTGTTGGTCACTGACACAATGTTTGCCAACCAATCAGGATGTTTCTCTTATGAAACCCACTAAATTTCTTTCTCTTCCCTCTCTTCCTTTCCCCAGACTCATCCAGTTGCAGGAGTTCAGCCAATATAGCCATAAATATAAATAATGAAATAGTCTATCATTTTAGTAATTATTTTTATTCAACTTTATAGTGTGAGGAGAGATACAGAGTGCCCTAAGGAGATTTTACTATAAACTATAAGAAGAGATTTCAACGCTTTTGATTTAACAACAGCTTTTATTTTATACAAAATGACAAAGATTGATGTAGCCAAATAAATCCATAGAGCTGAACCCAAACGGTAGGGAAATTATGGCTAGTTATTGTAATTGTTGAACAGACAAAAAAATATCATTCATCGTCTTACATCAAAGTGGACATTACAATAGTCTAATAAAAATATCCTTACCCCAACCTGAAGTCCTAAATAGAAGAAAAATAAAACTGATCCTATGCATCAAGTTGGATGCGTAACAAATGGTCACCTGTGATCCCACAATTTCATATTGCATAGCCAATAAGACATGCATCCTTATCCAACAACTGGGCCCGGCTTTAAGCATAAGCACAATACTCTCTCTTATTTAAGATGCTGAGTACCTACTACTTTCGGAATTAATAAAAGGTTGAGGCACTCATAAAAGCTCCTATAATTGAACTGGTCCTGGTTTTCAGCTTCGCGACAAGACACTCTGGCAACCAAAATGCGTACACTTGATACAAAAAAAAGGTAAACATTAGGTTGAGGCGCACTAATTATTAATGAATACTCCTACAGATGGAGCTAACCACAACCTATGGTCATATCAATAATTGGTCAGAGATTGAATGAAACTTCAAAAATCAATCCATGAAAAGCCTTGATAAGAAACTTAAAAGAGAACAAAAAATTGCCTGAGAAGAAAATTTGTAGTATTGGTCAACCAAATTCTGTTCGTTACCGTATCAGTAAACAAATATTACCTCCAATATAAACTCCCACTTCATCCACTGAACAGAAGGATAAGGGAGAGAAACCACAGTCACAGGCACTAAACCATATCCAAACACGCAACAACCAAATCTATTTGAAACTAAAAAAAGTTGTTCGGATGAGCATAAAAGAACAAAATTCCATTATTCCTTTAATCTATTGTGTGAAATCCAGATCAAAGAAAACATTTAATAGAATATGGAAGACTAATGAGCGATCCAATGAAGAAGGCCTAACCTTTCTGCTCACTGGATGCATCATGGAACTCATCCTCTTCTGGCACGGGTTGCAATTCCGGATCCTTCCCTGCCGTGCCCAAGGCAGGCACTGCATTACCACCATCGATAGAGCCTGCCTCCGCAGCATCGCTGGTCCCTTCATCAGGATAGCGCACCACCACCACAGGGCAAACACAATGATGAGCACAGTAGTCGCTGACGCTTCCAAGCCTCCCCTTGTTAGTCCTCCGCGCAGCTCCGAAGCCCCTGCTCCCCATGATCACAGCACTAAGCCCGAGCCGCTCCACCTCCAAGCAAAGCCTCTCCTTCAAGTCATGGTCCTTCACGATATGGATCTTGAACGGGATCTGAGCCTGCACAAGGGGCTGGGCGAGGTCCTGGGCTTTCGCCGCCGCTAAGGCATGGAAGTCGTCCTCCAGCTTCCGCTGCGACTCCTCGGAGCCAGCGTCCTCCGCTTTCGCAGCATCGGCGGCGGAGACAGAGACGTCGATGGCGCCCCAGTCGGCGCCGTAGAGGACTGAGGTGGGCCGAACGTGGAGTAGGATTACGGCGTCGCCCGGGCGGAGGTAGTTCTGGACTGCCCACTTCACCGCGTAGGCGCTCTCGTCGCTGAGGTCGACCGCGATCGCGATCCTGCGGTGGGAGCCAGGCGAGGGGCAGGCAGCTGCGACGGAGGAGAGGAAAAAGCGAGGCGAGGATGGTTGGATGGCAGCCTGAGCCACCGCGGCCGCCATCGTAGCCGCAGGTGGCGCCGTAGAGGCCTGTCGATCCGGCTCCGGTCGGGTCTGCGGGGGGTTCATCCCGTAGAAAACTAGAGTCAACTTAGTGTTCCCGAACCTTCTCTATCGAGAGAGAGACAGAGAGACAGAGAGAGAGAGGAGCGAAGAGAAAGGGGTTTTGCGAATGGATAGGTTCGAGGAAGAAGGAGAGGCGTATTAAACAAGCTGATGGAGTATAAGAATAAAATGGAGAAGAAAATACGAGAATTAA